GCGGGCGGCGGACTGTCCCGACTCCCGCGGAAAGCAGCGCCTTCGGCAGACTTCTGCGTCTTCGGCCCACGGGGGGTAGGCCCCCTGCTATGGCAACCCATCTGCTCCTCCTTCCTTCTGCGTTTCCCTTCCACCCCCGCGCCAGGCGGGCGCCGATAGCTCTACCGCCAGCTTTGGTCGTGGTTGATACCCCTTCCGCCCGTGAAGTCATCGTCCTCATCGTCTTGGCCTGCCCCCTTCGCCTTCATCATCGTCATCGGAATCCTTCACCTGCCGTGTCGCGCTTCGCCGCGCAGTTGCCTTGTCAGTTTTCCTCTTGGCGGTCTTGCCCCGCTTCCCCGGCCTCTCTTCCATGGCGAGAAGGTCGGGCGACGAGACAGGCTCAGCATCCACCAATACCCGTGCTCTCTTCTTCCGACTTGTGGCCGGCGATGACGCTTCCTTCGGCTCAACCACGACAGGATGCGACGACTTCTGCCACTGGCTGGGCGTAGCATAGGCAATCGTCGTGGCACCGCTCGACCGCATCCCTGACATTGCCTGCTTGAAGTGGGCGGCGCCGTCAAACTCTTGCACCGCTTCCTCTTCAGGCGATGGGTGTAACGACTGGTAGAGTGCTCTTTGGCTCGTACTGAGGGTCGTCGGCTCAATGCATATCGCGGCCATGCCTGGCACTGAGGCCGGTTGTTCCGACGACAGACTGTCGCTTGCTAACGGCGCCGTCGGTTTCTGGCCGCTGACGGGACAATGCCGTGCCTCGCTGATCCTGGTTGGCGAATTTTGCTGTGTTGGCGACCCGATGCCCGCATGCTGAGGCCACTGCTGGTCTGCGGGACGAGGTGGCGTGGCAACATCGTCCCCCTCGACCGTTGCTTCTACAGGCGGGTCGCTCAGGCCTGACGATGGCGCCGCCTCTGGCGTGGGCGAAAAGGCCCTTCCTGCATTCGCGTATTTCGCAAAGGTAGTACTGTGACCCGTCGCGTGCGAGAGGAGACTGCGCTTCGGCATCGGCAACGCCGTCGCCTCGGGGCTGCTTGGTATATCCCACACATCTTTCATCGTGCTCGCCACATTCCTTGCCGGCGGCGAAAGCTGCGTCACACCGCCGGGGCTGACGAGGTGGCGCGCTGCTCTCGGCCGCCTCGGCGCCGGGTCGCTGACAGACGTGAGGGACGACGTGTTCTCTATCCCCGTCTTCTTGTGCAGGTGTGCGTTCAGGGAGATCGAGCTCGATGTGTTGTCGGCAGCGTCGAAGGAGTGGTCTGCTCGGGCGGGAGCAGCGCGCTCCACGGCTTGCTGCTGTTCGCTGTAGATGGCCTGGAAGAAGCGGGGATCGGTCGAGTCCGTGCCATTGCCTGTCGTGGGCGAGCGGGAAGCTGGTGCAGTGACCGGGGTCTGGGGCTTCGCCGGACTCTGCCCTGGCGTGAAATCATCTTCCTCATCCGAGTCGGCGATGGTATTGTGAGTAGCCATGGCGGTCGCTCGGAGGCATGGCTCTGCACGGGCTGTACGATAGATGATACACAATGAGAACCAATGATGGTGGGGGGGTCGAAGCGAGCAGCAACGCGCGCCGCTGCGCGTTACACCTGGTCGCGTCGCGCTACCACGTGATCTAAGACATCCATGTGGTGGTACATTTGTCTCCCCACTGTACATGTACGCAGCTAGACACATGAAACTGGGTATGGGTTGGGATGACATTTGACCAGGCACGACACACGCTTCATTCAACCTCTTCTATCCTAGGCCGTTGTTGCCCAACGTTCGGGGAGCCAAATTGTTGACTCAAGTTCAGGTTCGCAAGACCACCGATGCTTGGACCGGCTCCCAAATCTCTTCCCGCGGGCAAAAGTGTGGCCATTTGCCAGCTCTCCAAGCTCTCAATGACATCTCTCGCATGCTGCTGTACCAGGCCATCGTTGTCGGAGATGGCAATGTACTTAAGGACGCGCAAGATATCATTCCTGCTGCTGTCCGTCAATCCGAAGCCTATCCTCGGCCCGGTTTGCCTGGCTACGTCGAGAGCCTTGACAAAGCTCAATATGAGGAGAACAGCCGCTCTCCGCAGTATCCCCTTTTCCAGCTCGGGCTCCAGCGTAAGAACGTTGACGCATAGATCAACGGAGGCTGACACGAGATCCGGTCCAACACCAGAAACGTGGGTCTTCATTGCACCTGCAAGGATAGACAGAGCAGAAGCACGCATGCGTACATCTTCGCTCCCTCGCTTGCTTTCCCAGCCCTCAACAATCTGAGTGAGGATATCAGATGCGGCTTGCTCCTCCTCCGTGAGTTCATCTCCTAAGTCAGGGACCTCGCCATCCCAGGCGTCTTCTGCCTGTTTCTTCTTGATCTCGCGTCGACGTGCCTCACGCGCCTGTCTTGCTTCCGTCTGAGGTCGGTAGCCTCGTCGACCGGCAATCGACAAGAGCGTCTCGGTGACATGGCGGGCAACATCTCCTGCAAATGTTTCCCCCAAGCGCTCGATGACTTGTAGGAGCGCCTCTCCGAAGCGTAACCTCGTATCTGTTGTTGAGCGTTCTTTCGGATCCAAGTAGTGGTCAAGTATTTCGCGCGACGTTGCCTTGGGGTGTTTGTTGGCCAGTTGCGTGAAGACCTTGATGACACGCAGGTTGATATAGTCCTCGTCATCTTGCATGAGAGAGGAGAGCAGGACGAGAACAGCCTGAACGTCCAGAGCTGTGCTGTTCGCCAGAATCAGGCCTGATATGAGGTTGAGACCCTCCGAGCGAACAGGGGGTGGGTTGTCTGCTTGTGTAATGTATGATATGGCAAGCTTGTATGTGGCTCTGTCCTCAACCTGTTTTGCATTGGGTACAAACCCATCCTTCTCATCTTCGCCACCCGCTGCATCACGGTACTGGAGCAACAAGCCCAAGTTTCTCGCTGTCGGAGATACCGTTGGATGATTGCCGCTGCCCAGCTTCTCCAGGCTTGTTTCTAAGACTTTAAGGCCGCGTGGTTTCAGATTCGATCTCTTGAATGTCGGCGATGTAATGACCAAGTTCAAGAGACTAAGCGCCACAGCGATAATATCGTCTGATTGACTTTGCAGGGTTGCCGGGTTCAAGATCTGACAGACAAGCTCCAGAACCTGTTCAATGCGACTGATCAGTTTCTCGGGAACCTCTTCAAGCATCTTCTGCAAGATGGCCACCTCCCAAAGCTTCTTCAGCTGCAAGCCTTCCTCATCTGGCTCAGCTTCTTCCAACTTGATCTTTGGCTGGGCGGGCGCAGATGCCACCAAGTCGGCCATCCATCTGCTAAGCAGGTCCATGGCAAAAGACGATACCTCATCCGGGGTGCAACTCGTCGCCATGAGGGAGACAAAGGTAGAGGATTTGTGTTGGACGCCGCTCCAGTCAATCTGGTGCAGCCTTGTGTCGCGGAGCTCCTCCATTCTGATAATCTCCACACCATCTGGCGCAGCTGTCGCGTATGCCCACATTTTCTTCTCCGGTTCAAGCTCGCCTTTGTAGTCGAGATTTTCCACGATCTTGAGAAGCTGAGCAGACGAGGAACCAATCTTGAAGAATACCTTCAGCAACGACAGCGCTGGTGTGCAGCATGTCTCCTGAAGCTGCGGGCCAGGGTTTGGCCACGAGGCAATGGCCCAAAGCTGCCGAATAATTGGTCCAATGACACGCCTAGCTTGGGCTGGAAATGGAGTCGCATTTAGAAAAGTCGAAAGGCGCTGGAGGGCGAGTCGGATCCTGTCGAATGATACTAGCACTCGACTGCGGGTGAGATCCAAGATATCATCCTGATCGCCTGAGCCGTTTGTTCCGAGGGATGTCACGGGAGGCCGAGAAGGATTGATAGTAAATAGAAGAGGCTCGATGAAGACGTCCCATCCCGGAGTTCCTGGTCGCAGTGTGAGAAATGAAAACTATGGTTGGAGTCATGCTAACCTACCAGGGGCGCCAAATTGTTTTTTACTCAAGATACCAATCATGACGACTTGAGCAGCGACGCGTGACAGCTCTGGGCCTTCATTTCCATCTAAAAGCTGATGTATCTGTGGCGCGATACCGGCAAACCACTGGGTAGGTGCCGTTGTCGCTGGGGGCGATGTAATAATTCGCGTCGCCACCGCCAAAGCCTCTTGCGTGATATTTGCACCGGTCTTGTGAAGCGTAGTTTCATCAGAAGCCTTCATTTGGCTGCTCGGATGAACTGAAAAAACGAACTCGAGGGTTCCACGCACGCCGTCACGACGAAGCGGGATATGTGTAAGGATCTTCATCAGTTGCGGCTGTAGCCATGATGGCGCCACGTTCGGTTTGATCAACGCATTCAAGGCTGGTAACAAGTTCCATGACACATTTCTGCGTCTCGGTTAGAGATATTTCTTGACCTAGGCAATGAACAATTTTACCTACCCTTCAACGAGCGAATTGAACTCTTTCAAGGCGAGGTCGCGTGATGTAGGCTCTGTTGTTGGGTCAAAAGCGCGCTTGCCAACATCGAGCAACGTATCTGCGAGAGTTTGACGACTTTCCTTCCCAGTCGACGCCATCATGTCTCGGTCATGGTCATCTGATGAATAGACTTGCACGCAAGATCCTACAAACTTAAGTTATTTATGGGATGACGTTTCTTGGAAGACTAAGGACCTACCTTAGGTGATGGACTGAGTAATCCGTGTTGAGAGGCAAGACCCACCACTGAGACTGGGTCACGTGGGCTCGCGCTCTACCTGCCCAGCACGCGTTGTCGTACATGTGACGCGTTCATTACCTGGCGCAACAGTGTTGCTTCCACATGCAAGGTATCAATTTGCCCAAGGCAGCTACGGTGGTACGCGCTTTGACCCCCATACTGTCATCTTTCGTCCTTTCCATCTTTTTCTCTCCCGTCTCCTCTCTCTTCACAACCTACCTAACAAGCTTATCAGCTTCACCCTTGTCTGCACCATCACCAGATCGTGGTGCACTGCTGATGGCTAAATCGAGATACGGCTTCAAGATTGGCGAAACCTCAGTATGTGGTTGATGCGGAAGCTCTTTCGTCCTTTCGACACCACTCCACGCACGACGCCTCCTCCACAGTCCTCCGGCTCGTCTTTTCCGAAAGGAATGTCTTTCATAGACCCCTCGACAAGGGCTGGGAGGCCCCAGTACGCCGCTCACGACTCTGCAACAGGGCTTCGTGCTTGCTGTGATTGGATCCACTGGGACCTCGAGTCGTCAGTATCAGACGACCCAGTCCGGCTGAGGGAAGACGGGTCGGAACTTAACCCTAAGCATCACCTTGGTTTTCAGTTTGCGCCCACGGCCGTTCAAGTCGCCTTGTATGTCTGCTATGCTCGTCTGCGGAGACTGCCACTGAAAAGTGGCGTCTTTGTCCGGGGCTATGTAGGCGGACCGGCGAGGAGAGCACTCCAGTCATCATCACCTGATGCGCGAGAAGTTGGCTCTATGAGTCTGTGCGGTGAGAGCCTCTGGTCCGAGGCCGCTCGTCAGGACCAACTGCTGGAACTAGAGCCTTGACCAATAACAGACTGCTCGGATGAGGTGCGCCTATTTGCTCGTAGGGAGATGACCGCTCTCGTCTGGCGCTCTGGAGCCTGATTCGGCCCTACAGCGGCTCGGAATCGCGGGAGAGACTGCAGTGAGGGAGATCTTGGCAACGCCGTCAAACGGTCAGATGAGCGTTTCCTTCGACTTGTGCACACCTTCCGCGACCCTTCTCGCAGCCCAAGGGCCGAGATGGGGGAAGGGACTCAAGCGGCAAACTGAAACGACCCGTCTGACTTGACGATGGCGAGGCAAACAGCTCTACGTACCCTCGCTATCTCACCGCACTCTTGACACCACAACAGACTTGATCTCATCCAACCCACGAGCAAACGTTCGCCTTGCCGGGCCACATCCGGGCTATGGCTTGGGCGTGTCATTACATCCATATGAGTCTGGTCAGGCGCATTAACCTGATCCCGTGGGTCTTGTCCCACGGCGTTGACGGACGCCAAATTCGTGCGGTCTTCTTCTGGAGAACGCAATATTCCCACTGTCTACCTCGTGGACAGCTTTGGACGATAGCGCGGTTTTTGAGAATGTCTTTTGTCCGCGCGCAATGCCCTCCACCGCCTCGTCTTCGACCTGTCACGGAGAGGAAACAAAAACGAGTCCTTGTTGGCAGTGCGAAACATACAGAAAGAACTTTGCACGACCACATCTGATGGATTCTCCTGCCCTCTGAAGCCGCCGATCGTCATGCAACATTGTCGAAATGACAGTCTTGGTTTAGTTGTGGAGGCTGCATACGCTTCTCGACGCTCGCGTCTGGGCAAGTAGCGATTGAGAGGTGGGCGACGTCAGACTGGGACCCATCTTGAGTTGGTGTCAAAGTTCCGCGCTTGTCCGGCCTGGTGGCGGCTGCCTCGGATGTACTATTCTGCCCAAGCGAGAGCTCGAGTCAATCCCCTTGGACCCCGTTGTGGGTGGACAGGCCTAATTGGAGGGCAGTCCAGGTTGTCGTCGCTCCAGTAATGGCGAGACGGCAACCCCCTCGATGCAGGGATAAGTTAACCTGAGATGCCTTTTTCTGATATGGACGCTAATTGGAGGTAGGAAGTCCTTGGTGTAACGAGTGCCCGACGGGTGGAATAAGAGTAGCAAACGTCACGCGACGCGAGCTTGCCGTCGTACTAATATGCATGCTGCCACTGGGATTATCAGCAGCTCGGTCTGATCACCTCTTCCATGATACATCACAGAAGACGAGCACAAAATATCCCTTCGAGAGCTATGTGCAAAACAACACAAAAACAAGCATGAATTCCACTTTCGGTTTGCAACATTCCTTTCCTTGGACTAAGAAAGAAAGCAGTGGCTACTTGACAAGCCGGCTCGGTTGACAAGCTAACAACCCGAACTGTCGTCCGCAGCGTTTTGTATCATCCAAAGCCGAATGGTATGAACTTGACTTAACATGCGTGTCAAGTATTCCTAAAAAGCACGTCACAAGCTACCTCACTATATACGAGCAAGCCAGCTCGCATGACCACGCCATTTCGTTTGACAGAACATGCCTAATCCGTCTTGCTGCAGCTGCTACAGGGCATGATAGAATCTCTGGTGTGGATATACACGCATCAGCCTGACCTCCGCCATTCTTCTTTGTTGTTCGGCCCACCCCCATCTACTTACACTGCGACGGAGAAATTTGAGGGCCAACAGACGGGTTCGCCGCTGCCAAGTAAAGATTAGCAGATCAGTGAATCACTTGTTCACGTATGATGTTGCGAGCACCACTCTCAGAGACTTCTTGTCTGGATTTCGCGCGGGACCGGGTGTAGGTCAGTGTCCTTTCAGCTGCCGCACTCGGCGCCCCTCATTGCTTGGCGCTGCCCATAAGACCTCGGCCATCATGCTCTGGTATAGGACTTGCGAAAGACTATGATGGAGCATTGATCACCACGAGTTGTGCCAATAAGCTTGCAACTGATTAACTTTTCAACGATCAACTGGAAGCAACTCCAGAGGGCTCAGAACTCGGCGGAGCAGTGTCGCTTCTGATCAACCCCCCCCCCTCTCTATTTGAGACTGGTAGGATCAGTGCGAAGGGTCTCGTGCACTATTTGACAGCCCCTGACGCCATGTTAGCAGGTTTTAAGCCCCTCTCCGTCGGCTTGCAGGTGCTCGACAAGGTTGTGCCCCTCTCTAGAGACCCTTGGAGAACCTAGCTCTAGCATCCGTCCGGCCCACCGATTCCACCGGCAGCATATCGGCCGGTGCATATTCGATTGCCTCGAGACTTCTTTACATGGGACCTGAGCTGTGACAGCCGTCTTCGTGTGCGGGATTGATGTGCTGGAGATTTGGTTGGGGGCCTAGTCAACGCCTCCTCGACAGCACAATCGAAGTGGTGGCCGATGAGTCGTCAACGGCGGTTACATCTGAGTGTCCGGCCTCTTGCATCTTAGGCCAGCCAGTGGCAAGACGCATCAACAAAATCAAGCTTGTGAGAAGAAACATGCTTATCGAGTGATCCTGGTCGCGATCCACTGGCCAGCCCGAGTTCTTGAAGTGCCCTCAATCTGGCGCAGTTGGCGGCCGACACTGGCCGCGATATGCCAACAGATCCCGAGGAAAGCGTTGCCAGTGAATGCGAAAATGGCTCCCTTTTGAGCGAAGGCTCCTGACACAGAAGAGCCAAGTATCCCTGATATTGAGGATACTGGCCATCATTGCCTCTCTAGTCCTCGTCTCTACATCAGTCGACCTTCTCAATTGTGCTGCACTCTGTCGAGTGTTACGGCCCGGCATTCTCAAATCTGCATGATTGAGGTTGAGTACTTGGAAGCAGTAAAGAGGATGGATTCGAAAAGATGTGCTATGATGCTGAACATGCTACAGCCGAAGCTGAACGCCTCGGAACCTACTCTCTCGCAGACTTTGTACCTCAAAGATCCCAGACTGCTCTGCGACAGCTCGTCGTACGTTCACCATCTGTGTTGCCTATGTGGCTCAAGCATAGCGTGTATCTCCTGGTGTATCGCACCATTATCTCTGCTTCGCTCGCAGAGGCTCATCGACATTGGCTCCCAATCTCTGCACTGATTCAATCCTCTGGGAAGCCCTGCCGCCTATTCATCGGTTTAGCCTACGACTCTTTCGAGACAGCATGTCGCAGTGTAACGCACCAGGCACTTATCACAAGCTGCATCCGCACCGCCAACCCATTCTATCCCGGGAAAGCACGCGCCATTTGGATCGTTATGGTACTTGCAAGGGTATTTGTCAGACATTTTGTTGTGAGTCCGGGCAGGTTGAAGCTGATGTTGGTGTTCTTTAGCTTGAAATCGACAGTGCTCGATGGCATGCGCACGACAAACAAAACTTGGGGACCCGGAGACCGCCATTGGGCCTTAAATAGAATTTCCCTCGCCACTCATGGATACACGGTCGGTCCGGGGTTGGTATGGTACTTTCTTCATCTCGGTCCTACAGGGTCCTAGACTTGCAGGTTTGCTGACTTTGCTCAGGCGTATCACGATCCCTCCAAACCGAGAATGAGACGCTTGCCCTGCCAATTGTTGACACTATCGAAGGAGAGGGGGCTTACTCCACCCTGTGTCATTCCTATACCTCATTCATGTACAGGCGCGAAGGCTGACAACATCAGCCAAAGCCAAGAAGTTTGTCCAGCCTTGGGCATTCTTCAAGACTGGCCCTTGCACCCCTTCTTCAAAGAATCTGAGAAGTGATCGATTTCCTTCTGAGAGGGGTGCAGCCAACAGGCGTGGCGGCTGGACCCCGATGAGGTGGCCTGACTGTCCCACCTCTTCCATCCTAGGTGTCGCCCCTATACGTGACAGCGTCTCGCTCATCCATTTTGAAATGGTCATGACTGGGATGTTAAACTTCGACGAATTGAGGTCGCCGCCAGGATTTGACACTTCCGGCCCCACCTTGCGGTCTGCAGCCAACGCAGCACCGGAACGCCTTAGACAGCATGTAGTACTTCTCTTTGACAGGCGACTGCGAGATGAGGCTGAGCTAGCTCTGGCCATTCCATCCATTCTACATGGGGACAGGGCGGCTGCAGGGCATAGCGCGCAGCGGCATGATCATGACATTGCCTTCGTGGACCCGATCGAGACCGTCACGAATAGCTCGCGCTCGGAGTGGGCTCCGTCAACCATCTGCGAATCGCCAGCTGCAGCGTAGGATGTAACTACCAACACGAGTATCTGTGGGCCAGTCGCCACGCTTGCAGATCAACCTACTAGTGACACAGACTGCTGATTCGTCAACGGTTACTTACACATTAGTGATGCTCACCAGGTCTGGGGTGTTGCTCAAAACCCCCCACGTTTCCCAGTATCAGGGAGGATGCGGCACGGCCATGCAGTGTTACCTCCTTTACCCGGGACGGAGTGACAGCCGGGTCAGTTGGGGTCACTCGGCTACGTTACACATGAATTGCATGCATATCAAAACGGCCTACGCCCAGGTATGAGATGCCATACACAGTCATTTCTTGCTGTGCCGTGGACGGACACAGTTACGCTGCCGGATAATGTCCGGCCTCAGCCACACTCGCAATTTTGCCTTCCTTCGAATTGTTCTCGAGGGACGCTGAGAGAAGTGTTTCTCTTAGTGCTCCAATCTCTCCTAACACAGAGGGCGACTCCCAGGCAACAGAGCTCTAAGCTGCCAGGATGATGAAGGCATGCTACTGGCGCAAATGCGCTGTCCTTGGAGTTATACTTATGAAAAACCAGGTAAACTTCAAAATGAAGTATCGCTTGGTCAGCTTGGATGCTCGGCTTCTGCTACCTTGTCCGGGTCAGAGTATCATTTTCTCGACTCTCGTGGTGTCGCATTCTCATCTGTATACTGCAGCCACAAACCCACCTGGGCTAACACTCGAGGCGCCAGACCGTTTCCGCTCCGCTCACGACTTTTAACTAGCTCCAGTTTCGGCACGGCTGGGTGTGTATGGAGAGAGGGTATAGTTCAACTGACCATTGGGTATCGACCTGAGCTGACCATTGGGTCCGTTTTTAAGTCGCGCTAGCACTGACCTGACCATTGGGGGTGCTGTGAGGTGCAGTTAAAGTCTCACGTGCCTTGGTTACATAATACAACTGAGCCCAGACCACCAAGTCCAGCCAGACCACTAAATCTACTGACTAAATCCATAAAAGGCAGACTACTAAGTCTACTAAGGCTAGACCAAAGTCCACTGAGGCAGACCACTAAGTCCACTGAGGCTAGACTACTAAATCCATTAAAGGCAGATCATTAAGTCTACTAATTCTTTTTTTTTAAAAAAAAAATTGAATCTAAGTTAACTCTGAATTGATTATAAATCGATTTAGAATCGATTTAGAATCAATTCATAATCGATTATTAAAAAGTAGAGAAGTCGATGAATATTAGGTAACCCAGTTTTATTACATTCACCCTTTTCGCCATACCCCAATAGTCAGGTCAGTTCCCAGATAGGCTAGCGTGAATTAAAAGAGGACCCAATGGTCAGCTCAGGTCGACACCCAATGGTCAGGTGAACTATACCCTCGTATAGAGACGTTACGTGTCAGCTTGAAAGATTGCGCCTCTCTGAAGCTGCCTGGGCTGTCAGGGAACTGTAAAGATTCGATCGTAGTTCAAAGGCGTCTCTTTTGAGAATTGGCCGGAAAAAGCTTCGCTCTGGATCCGCCGGTATATCGCGAAAAGCGTCAAACACCTCCCGCTTTTGACCGCCGGGAACGCATTACCCCCAGGGGGGCAGGGAATTAAACCCCCCATCCCCCGGTCGGGGTTTCCCTTCTCCCCCGAGGGCCTTCCCAGACCCATCCTCCCGCTGTTTGGGGGGGGGGAAATAGGGGTTCTTTTTGGGCCGGCCCCCCCCCCCCCCCCCCCCCAAAAAAAAAAAGCATACCGACAGGGAGTGATCAACCTTGCGGCGGCTAGACGTGGCTCCTCGGGGAGCTGGGAGGAATTATCCCCGAGCTACCGCCCACCTGATGATCATGACTCTGTGAAGTGATGCATGTGGAGTAGGATTAACGAGCTCGATCGACGCAAGGAGTTGGCGTTCCAGAAAACGTCGAATCGCTTGGCTGCAAATCTTTTCGTGGTTGGGGACAGATTCCAAACCCGGGTGGCAACATTGGCCCTAAGCGGTAGCTCTGGCCAAAGGAGATGGGTCCAATACTTCCACGATGGATCATTGCTAGCACTTCACCTAACCTTGCGAATGGTTCTCCAGATTTGAGATTGACAAGGTCCTTGGCTGATTCGAGTAGCGTCCTTCGCTGCCATGTACTGAGCAGTCGGAATTGGGGACCGTTTATCGGTTTCGTGGCGATGAGCTTCTGAACAACGCATATTCCACAGCAACAGTGTTCTACGCAAGGAACCCCTCACTGGCGGCTGTAGCAGAAGATCAAGACAGGGCGCTTCGGAGCGTGACTGTCGCCTGAGAGTTCAGCGATTGCTGATCGCTCGTGGACCTTCGACGACTGCAGCCAGGCGACTAGATATGCAGGTCAGACCCTACTAGGAATCGTTCCCGATCATGGCCCAAAGAACGAGGACGGCTCCGCCCACCGTCAGGTTGGATGGCATCCACTGACGACGAGAACAAACAGCTGCTGATGAGGAAGAAAAATATCGCAGATACAACTGAGCTGTCCAGGCCACCAGCCATGTGAGCGTGGGGAGCAATGGTTGGGTTACAACATGACCATCCCTACAAGGTGCCCCTCTCTTGCCTGCCGCAGGGTAAGCCGCTGCGTTAAAGGACGGAAAAGTGAGCGAGAATTGAGTTATTAACGTTAGTGTAGATGCATAGACGGCACAGTATGGACGGTCGAGACCAGCATAAGGTAGGGGTCCCGAAGGGGCACCTAGACGCAACCTTTCCTGACAATGTCGCCACAACCCGCCCACACTGATGATCCAACAAACGGGTGACGCAGAAGCTTGCGTTGCCCCAACGTCTGACACTCCAACAGGAGGTGGTGCTCGGAAGGTCGGCATCAGGAGGGCACAGTTGGCGAGTAAAGCATCGCGTATACCCAAGGCACGTAACGCTAGCAACGCCGTCGCTCAGAGGCCGTCAGAGTCGCAACGATACTCCTCTAGGAAACTGGTGATGACGAAATCTCGCCATGTTATACCCCCCGCAGTCTCGTGTCGATTGGCTCAAGGGGTGTGTTCGGGGCAGAGAGAGAGAGAGAGAGAGAGAGAGGCAGGCCCGTTTATGTCCTTCCTCGTTCCGAACCCCCCTTTTCGCTACTCGCTTCGAGATGTGAACTATTTATTCCAACTTGCCACCAAGTCTCACCTGCGTATCAGTCAACGTTCGTGCCATCTTTGGCAGGTGTACTTGGCCTTGTCTCGTTGCTGAGCAAGCATTGAGCTTGAGCAATGCTTAGGCGGATGCGGTGGAACAGGCCAGGTAGGTCGAAGCAGAGGAAGTAAACAGGTCAAAAAGGGCACAGGACCCCATGCTCCGCACAGTCTCGCTCTCGAAATAGGCGTTTTACAATCCTGATGGGCGTCAAGCTTGCAAGTCAATGCCTGGTCTTGATGGCAAGGATTTGACGAGGTACACGGAGATGAAGTGGGTGCAGGTGGGACAGCCGACGTCCACCTTCCGCAGCACTCTGCTGCGGGATCCGAAGATCGAGGAGCATCCATCCAACGGTGGGTAGTTTGATGGACTGTCTGAGGCAACGCGGTTGACTTGTTGGCGTGGGCCAACATGCAGACTACAGTCCGCCGTTGTCCGCACCTCGAGCCGCCCTTCCCTGTTATGAGTGGACGACACACTTGAGCCGAATCAAAGCTGCTCACAAAATAGCAGGGCTCTGACCTTGCAGTACGCATGCCGCCGCCGCCGCTTGCTTGCACACGTCCACTCCTCATGCAGCAGTGTCGATCAACTTGGCAGTCCGCGCCATTATCCCCGGTGTCGATATTCTGCAACATTGAACTCTATTCGAGCGGACCGGCCATTGTGTTGGCGCATATTGTCGCCTTGGTCGTGCGTCCTGTTCGCTGTCAGCGCATATACGCCAGTGTGCACACGCCGACAGGACGCAGAACCCATGGTTGGAAGACCCAGGCAAAAGACGTCCGGCCGACCGGACGGTCGTCCTACCCCCCCTGTCTGTGCCCTTCAGCCCTTTCTATATACCCTGTCTGTGTTCCCTATAGCGCCCGACCTTGTCTTGTTCCCGCAGTCTGGGGCCTGGACCGTCCATTCTCATCGGATATCGACCACGATGACTGGCCACGGCCAGGAATTCTGCGCCGAGGCTTTCCAAGTAGGGACATGCTGACTGGGTAGAGAGCCATCATGTGATGGAAACTGCATCTGTCCCGCCGCCCTAGCTCAGCGATACATTTTCACCACCGACCACAGCGGCAGCCCGGATGATTCTGACAGGGATCACAAGGAGGGGCTAGAAGCATTGAATGCAGGCAGAGACGACTGAAATAGGTTGTGTACATCGTGTACGTACGTAAAGGATGGACGATGTATGTGGTGCAGAGCAAAGGAGGGGGTGGGCGAAGAGAGTTCAGCGCGACAGGGAGCTAGACGTTGTGAGAGGTGCCATCGCGCGCGGGAACATCGCCAAAACGCACCTTAGTACGGTGGACCAGCTCCAGGGCCGGCACTCATCCGTCATCGGGTACAAATTGGCGGTAACGTCTTTCTTATGATGGAGGCTTTTTGCGAACCGCTTCTGGTAGATCATTTCTCTCGTTAAAGCCGTGTAACGTGCACGTTTTCGGTTCCGAAAGAATGTATTGGGTACACGACCCTCAATTCTTGGAGGCCCTGACACAGTCTCAGCCGAACGTCATGTAGTGACGTAGCTGTAAGCCAGGCCTGTGTCAACATGTCTTACCACTCGGTATTTCTATTTTATGTCACACGCTCATATGAAGTTTGTAAAATTCGCGGTCCTTCTCGAGCACCGCGCTTACAACCCTGACATGCATTGATGATGTGTCGAGGTGCCTAGCAAGCCAGCAATGCCAATGATGCATGGCGGCTCCACCAGGTTGGTAGACTGGGCCACCAACGTGCTCGAGCGTCTGGAGGAGTTTCCAGACGATTATAATGGTTGAGCCGATCTAGTCTAGCAGGTACCGACAAAACATGATCGCCACTCCTGGCGGGCGGACATTGACAATTAAAAGATTTTGCAAGAAGTTGGCGGCAAGATGATCTTGAATTTCGTACATCCTCTCTTCTTTGGCGTTTATGGGTTATGCTTTGATACGTCTGGCAGA